TACTGGATTGTCCTTGAAGCTCCATCTTTCCAATATCTGCTTCCCAAGTAGTTGAAGTCACAGGAACCCCATCATGCCTGTTGACACCCATTCTCTTTCTGCCCAAGAGCCAACAGCAGTGAATGAGTTGCTGTTGGTGGAGAGGTTCTGTGTACTTTCTGAGCCAACTATTAAACTTGAGTGGATGTAAGGGGAAATGGAAGCTGTTGATTACTGTTTTGTGACTGAATGGAGGTGCAAAGTACACAGTGGATTTCCACAAAATACCTCACTAACAGCTTTTGCATTGTATATGGCAACTATAATGCCCTGGATATATTGAGTGAAATGAAATTTATTACTCATTTCACCTGTTTCATTTTACTTTTCTTTTTGTTTGTCTTTTGCATTAGTCCTAGGGCTTGAACTCAGGATCTGGGCACTGTCCCTGAACTTTGGTGTTCAAGGCTAAGAGTGCTCTACTACTTCAAGTCGGTGCCATTTCTGGCTTTAATTGGAGATAATTGGAGATAAGAGTTAATTGGAGATAAGTTAATTGGAGAAGAGTTAATTGGAGATAAGAGTCTCAGACTTTCCTCCCCAAGCTTGTGAGAGCTTGAAAATTCAAGTTGTGAGAGGCCAAAAAGAGTGGAAGTTTGAAATGCCTTCTCCCAATATGCTCTCAGAATGCTGAGAATTTCCTAAAAAGATCAATCAGTCCAGGCCTTCCAAGGAAGACTAAGGTTTATGCAAACTACAGGCTGTTTACTGTTTAACTCTCCTTCCCAAAATAAGGTCACCTAACACTTGTAATCAAAATACTGTCACAGGCTGAAATTTGTACCTTACTTCCTGGCACAAGCCCAACAGAAAACTTAGTTAAGCCCCATGCCAGTGGCTCACACCTATAATCCTAGCTACTTCGGATGCTGAGATCTGAGAATCGTGGCTCAAAGCCTGCCCAGACAGGAATGTTCCTGAGACTCTTATCTCCAATTAACCAACAGGAAACCAGAAGTGGTGCTGTAGCTCCAGTGGTAGAGAACTAGACTTGAGTTGAAGAGCTGAGCAACAGTGCCCGGACCCAGAGTTCAAATCCCATGACCAGGAAATAAAATTCATTAATGGAACCTTGGGATATTTTGCTGGCTGAAAGCTACAGGTCCCCTGGTACCCCAAAGCTCAGTTCCTTGGTTTGGACTCCTTTATTGCATTGCTCCCTGTCACAGCAGATTAAGGAGCACACTGCGGGTGGCAACACAAGCTGTCTTTGAACTGTGATCTTCAAATCTCAGCCTCCTGAGTAGCTAGGGTACACGTGTTACTCACTAGCACCGAGTTTCATTTTAATGTTGTTGTTTGTCAGTCCTGGGGCTTGAACTCTGGGCCTGGGCACTGTCCCTCAGTTCTTCAGCTCAAAGTGAGTGCTCTACCACTTGAGCCACAGCACTACGTCTGGTTTTCTGATGGTTAATTGGAGATGAGTCTCACAGGGCTGGGAAGGTGGCTCAGTGGTAGAGTGCTTGCCTAGCATGCATGAGGCCCTGGGTTCGATTTCTCACTACCATATAAGCAGAAAAAGCCAGAAGTGGGTGGCACTGAAGCTCAAGTGGTAGAGCGCTAGCCTTGAGCTGAAGAGCTGAGGACAGTGTTTAGGCCCTGAATTCAAACCCAAGGACTTGGGAGAGGGAGGGAGAGAGAGAGAAAGATTCACCAATATATCGATACCAATATATATCGATATATTATATACAACAATATATATCAATATCAATATATATTGATGAGGGGTGGGGGGAGAGAGCTAAGAAAAGAAAAAGGAGAGAAGAAAGTTAGAAACAAAGGTTATTTTCAATTTCTGTGTACCCCTCCCTCAAGTTATGGGGCATGAATTTATAGCTTGGGGGCTATCCCTGAGCTCTTTTGCTCAAGGCTAGCACTCTACTAGTCTGAGCCACAGCACCACTTCTGGCTTACTGGTGGTTATTGTGGACATAAGAGTTTCATAGACTTTCCTGCCTTGACAGGCTTTGAATTACAGTCCTCACTCAGATCTCAGCCTCCTGAGTAGCTGTGATTACAGGCATAAGGCTCCAACACCCAGCCCTAAGTACCCCTTTCTTATCTAACTAGGGTACTACTTCAGACCAATGGCCCAGTAGGGTGCCAGTGGCTTACTTGTGTAATCCTAGCTACTCAGGAGGCTGAGATCTGAGGGTCATGGTTCAAAGCCAGCCCAGGCAGGAAAGTCCCAAAGACTTTTTTCTCCAAAACCACCAGAAAACCAGAAGTGGCATTGTGGCTCAAGTGGTAAAGTGCTTGCCTTGATCTGAAGAGCTGAGGGACAGTTCCCTGTCCCAGAGTTCAAGCTTCACAACCAATAAAACAAAAAAGAAAGAAAAGAATGGCCCTTAGACTCAGATTCACTTAGGAGTCACCTAGAAAACTTAATCTTCTTTTGTAATCAGTGCTATTGAGGCGCATATTACATACAATACTGTACCCCTTAGAATGCAGAAACTGACAAATTTGGAATGTTTTATACTGTATAACTAGTACAGAAAAAAAAAAAATGTAGAGCATTTCCACCAGACCAAAGCGCTGCATAAGCCAGCTCTTTTCATCAACTGCTCCTCTGCCCCTCCTCCACCCCCTCCCATCTAGGAGGTAGAATACTGTTCTGTGGAGATTCAGAGATGATACAAATTGTTAGAATGATTGGGAGGTCCTTGCACAACTATGAAAATGGAAGGAGTGGAGACACTGGTTACTTCACTGACCCTGCAAGTCAAAAGGATTAAACAAGGTTTCTTAAACTCAGTATTTCTGACATTTTGAACTAACATTGCAGCAAGTTATCCTATGCCTTGTAGAATGTCCTGCAGAATTACTGGCATCTACCCACTAGATATCAGTTCCAGCCCCTAACTTAGGCCAACTAAAAACTCACTTTTGGACATTGGAAATCACTTCACTAGTTTTTTCTCCTCTATGGAGTCTGGATTAAAAATTGCTTTGCCAGGTGCTGGTGGCTCACACCTGTAATCCTAGCTACTCAGGAGGCTGAGATCTGAGGATCACAGTTCAAAGCTAGCCCGGGCAGGAAAGTCCAGGAGACTCTCATCTCCAATAAACCACTAGAAAAACCAGAAGTGGTGCTGTGGCTCAAGCGGTAGAGCACTGGCCTTGAGCTGAAGAGCACAGGGATAGTGCCCAAGCCCAGAGTTCGAGCCCCACGACCAATCAAAAAAAAAAGGAAAATTAAAAAAAAATTGCTTTGTCTCCCAATGAACCTAAATAGGATACTTGAGTAAAGTCATTTCCAGATTCTAACTTTACACACCCATTTTATGGACACTGATACAACCCATGTTTTTTAGTAATGATTAGAATATTTATTGAGACTTCAGCAGATGTTTAATGTATAACTTATTGCTACACTTATCTAAAGAATGAGTTACTGGGTACTGGGAAGGTGGCTCAGTGGTAGAGCGCTTGCCTTGTATGCATGAGGCCCTGGGTTCGATTCCTCAGCACCACATACACAGAAAAAGCTGGAAGTGGCGCTGTAGCTCAAGTGGTAGAGTTCTAGCCTTGAGCTGAAGAGCTGAGGGACAGCGCCCAGGCCCAGAGTTCAGGCTCCAGACCGGACACCCCCCCCCCAAAAAAAAAGGATGAGTTACTGTTTATGTGCAACTTGCAAGAAAATAAGCACAGGCATCTCAGAATTTTATTCAAGATTGCATATAGAGAGCGGGAATATGAATTTAAAACACAATGTATAGCTGGGTGCTGATGGCTCACACCTGTAATACTAACTGTAAGCGCTGACCCAGAAAGTCACTCGGACAAACAGACACATAGAAGAAAGAAGCATTTATTATGAGCTGAAGCTGACAGGCTATCTCTCATGAGATACAGAGGAGCAAACTGCTCTTGCAGCCTTAGAGGTAGATGTAGTCTCAGCAGTTTGAAGGCAGAAGGAGCTGGGGGCAGGAAATCTTTGTAGTCACAGCTGGACACTAGAGATATCAGAAGCCAGGGCAGGACATTCTGTAGCTCGCTTGCAACCAGGAAAAACATTCTATTACAGAGACAATACATTCTATACCCAGCGCGTAGCAAAGTCATGTAGCCAGGGGAAACATCTCAGAGCAAAGACAATACATTCTATAGTAGGCACCTTGGGATTATACACTAGAACCAGTATGACTGGGACTGACATCCAGACTCTGTTGCTGATGCAGTCAGGGCCGGTGGGAATAGGCAACTGTGGCTGGGCCTGGCTTGTGATTGACCCAAAATAGAGGTGAATAAGCTTACACCAGCTACTCAGGAGCCTGAGATCTGAGGATTGTGGCTCAAAGCCAGCCCAGTCAGGAAAGTCTGTGAGACTCTTATCTCCAATTAACCACCAGAAAACTGGAAGTGGTGTTGTGGCTTAAGTGGTAGAGAGCTAGCCTTGAGTTGAAGAGCATAGGGACAGATCCCAGGCCCAGAGTTCAAGCCCCACAACCACCACCACCAACAAAAACCCTGTCTCCCCAAAACAAACACAGTATCAGGAAGAATATGGCCCACAGAAAGGTTTATGTCCTAGCTATGAGCAAAGAACACTTAATCAGAAAGATTCAAATCATGAAGAAACAATGTTTCAAGTGGAATAGAGGATCAGATGCATGAAACACATACCAGGGCCAGGGACAGTACGCAGAAGTGTCAAAAGGGGTAAAAAGGCTTAAGAGCTGGATCACATAGAGTCATGGATTCTGAACATTGTAAAGGATTGAAATATGGATAGACTTCATGGGGAAAGGCACAGTTAGTGAACTTGTGGATGAGAAATGCATTGTATGTAGTGCTGTAAAATGAGACTGAGCCAGCCTGGTAGTCTACAAAAACCCCAACACGTTCAAGAGCGACAGGCAAAGACAGGGGCAAGGACAAAGGAGAATGGGTGGTAGGATCCTCCCCAAAAACTTTATACCCAGAATTATCCTCCATCCCTATAATCCAGTAACCAATTTTAGGTTGAGGAACTCCATAAACAGTATGACTACACCTTAGACTGGGTTTGAATCGTCTTCCACCACGTCTGCTTAGGGGCTGGAATTCTTTCTTATAAATAGTGAAATATCTTCCGTCACTTAATCCCAGGTGCCAGGATGTTTTCTTAGACACATCTACCTCCCAGTAGTGCTTCCCTGATGTGATTACAGGGGCACCCAGGGCCCCTAGCAGAGGTAAATTATGTTCTTGAAGTTGAGAAAAACTTCGTTGATAACCGAAAACTGGATCAAGAAAAGGATTTTCATAAAAAGATTCATATGAAGCCCCGAAGGCAAATGTATTGGGAGGGACTGGAGAACTCCGGTATCTTATCTGTTTCTGATCCGGGGAAATGTCAATTCTGGAATCATTCGTTGTAGTCATTATCACGTGAACTGTAGAAAAAAAAATGACAGGTTTGAGTAATGGACAGAAGAAACTCTTTTTGTGATGTTATAAGCAAAAGCATAACAGGAATGTGAGAGAGACCTGGAGAGAACTTTGAAATCATAATGAAACGGGAAAGGGAGAACACTGCATAAGCATCATTGTGTGTAGGAAAGAGTAACCTAAGTCAGAATGAAAACATTTTGATAGATGGCAAGGAACTGATTGCTTCTTACCCCAGTATTGGCGGACATCAGTCAGCTCTGAAATGACAACAGGAGACCACATCACCACAGTGTCCACCCTTCACAGCTAGGAGCCATATCTAGAAATTACACCGGCCCCTACCACAGCTAGACCCCCACAACCACACCCTAACCCAGATCTCCTCACCTGGAAAAATGTGCAGCACTCCTCTCAGACCAGTTACTGGGAACACAGTCTGTTTTTTCTTTGGGAACGTTACTGGTTTCTTCATTGTCAATAGCTCACAACTAGGGATGAAATGAACAAGGTTCTATACCTCAGCTTTATTTATTTATTTATTGGTCAGTTGTGGGGCTTGACCTCTGGGCCTGGGCTCTGTCCTTCAGCTCAAGGTTAGTGCTCTACCACAATGCCATAGTGACACTTCCAGTTTTCTGAGTGGTTTATTGGAGATAAGAGTCTCATGGATCAGAAACCATGATCCTCAGATCTCAGCTCCTGAGTAGCTAGGATTACAGGTGTGAGCCACCAGCACTTGGAAATACTTCAGATTTTATTTATTTAGTCATTTGTGAGGCCTGAACTTTCGGCCTGGGCACTGTCCCTCAGCTCTTCAGCTCAAGGCTTGCACTCTACCACTTGAGCCACAGCGCCACTTCTGGCTTTTTCTGCTTATATGGTGCTGAGGAATCGAACCCAGGGTCTCATGCATGCAAGGCAAGTACTCTATCACTGAGCTATCTTCCCAGCCCTAAACTTCAGATTTTATAACCTTCATCGCCAATAATCTACCTGTTGCTTACACTACTGACAATTAGATGTACCTACCTTAGATTCCTAGAAAAGAAAGGATAGACTATGGCTGAAGTCATTATAAATACACTCAGGTCTACCTTCCTGCTATCTGCATGATTCATGGAAGACCCTAAATTGCCATGAATTTTGGTTTCTAGGAAATGGTCAGGAAATAAGTTGACAGAATCTGGCTCATTCTGGATTTTCTTTTCTTTTTTTTTCTTTTGGTTGGTTATGGGGCCTGAACTCTGGGCCTGGGCACTGTCCATCAGCTCTTCAGCTCAAGGCTTGCGCTCTACCACTTGAGCCACAGTGCCACTTCAAGTTTTTTCTGCTTATGTGGTGCTGAGGAATCAAACCCAGGGCTTCATGCATGCAAGGCAAGGCAAGCGCTCTACCACCAAGCCACCTTCCCAGCCCATCATTCTGGATTTTCTTTTTCTTTTTTTTTTGTCGGTCGTGGGGCTTGAACTCTGGGCTTGGGCGCTGTCTGTCCCTGTGCTCTTCAGCTCAAGGCAAGCACTCTACCGCTTGAGCCACAGTGCCACTGCTGGTTTTCTAGTGGTTTATTGGAGATAAAAGTCTCCTGGACTTTCTTGCCCAGACTGGCTTTGAACCGTGATCCTCAGATCTTAGCCTCCTGAGTAGTTAGGATTATAGGCATGAGCCACCAGCACTGGGCTCATTCTGGATTTTCAAGGGATACAAAGTATAAAAATCACAGCTGGATGGCTGGGAAGCTTGCTTAGCAGTAGAGCTTGCCTTGCATGCACAAAGCCCTGGATTCCATTCCTCGGCACCACATAAACAGCAAAAACCGGAAGTGGAACTGAGGCTGAGAGAGTGCTAGCAAAAAACAGCTCAGAGACAGTGCTCAGGCCCTGAGTTCAAGCCCCAGGACTGCCAAAGGAAAAAAGAAATCACATCTGGAGAAACCCAAAAACTTGAAAGCCAGTTGCCCATTACAGAGCTCTGAGAGAGCTCAGCCTTCAGGCTCTCTGGGGGAAATAACAAACATTTGGAAAAGGGAGCTTTATGAACAACAAATAATGCTGCTCTGAAATCCACTGGTGAGGAGAGATGGTGATGCTGCCAGGTGAATGGTGCCGCCAGGTGGCTATGCATCCTTAGACACAGGGACATCTTCCATCACTCTTGTAAAATCTGTGAGCCTCATGGACCATTTACACCAGAGACAAAATCCTGTTCCCACAGGTCAAGATAACTGTTTTTGAACTCATATATTCGACTGATCATTTGTTTTCAGGAGAAATATACAAACACATAGGAAGTTTGTCAGTGGACAATTCTGGGTACAAGGTAGACAAGGAAGATTTGTTATATTTGAAAACAAATGAGGTGGGTGCTGGTGGCTCATGCCTGTAATCCTAGCTACTCAGGAGGTTGAGATCTGAGGATCTTGAATCAAAGCCAGCCTGGGGAAGGAAAGGCTAGGCGACCCATCTCCAATAAACCACGCAGAAAACCGAAAGTGGTGCTGTGACTCAAGTGTAAAGCACTAGCCTTGAAGAGCTGAGGGACAGCACCCAGGCCCAAAGTTCAAGAGCTATGACTGACAAATAAATAAATAAATAAATAAATGAAACACCTCTGAGATCCAGGACCAGAGCTGATATAGGAATATTGGGTAAATAAATGGTATGCCACAAGGAATCTGCTACTGTATCACTTGATCCCCAATATAATTTCTGACACATTCTAATTTTTCATAACTTTTACTCGCTACCAGAGGATCTAATTTAGTCCCAATAGTCCTAATGTGCCCAAACCCTGATTTTTATCCAGAACTGAAGACAATACTACAAGTTCATTTCCCTGGTCTAGGAGATGTTATACTATATTTGAGTACTAGCTAGTTCTACTAATCTTGTCCCACCAAACAAAGGACCCTCCTAGTATCCCACACATACCTTCTCATGATGGTATTCTCATTCTAGAAAGAAAGCAGAAAACATGATTAAGGAAATAAGACTGTCCTTTCTTATAAAGTGTCATCAGAATCGTACCAACCTCTGTGGTGCTAAGGTTAGAGATGAACCCACGAGGACAAAAATCAGAAAGGGAAGACTAAATAAGTCTAGTCATTCCCTGGCTCTCTAGGAGATTATTTTAAATAATACATGGTTCTTCCATTTCTTAAAAACACAAATATAAACTGATAGATGTTTGCCAAGTACTAGGCTGACTGCTTTTGAGACCTAAAGCTGTTTCTTCTAAATAATTTGTTCTAAAGTAAGAAGACTGAGTCTCAGTAATGTCACCTGTTCTTATAGACATCCTGGTAGCTGCTCTCCAGACAGCACTGAAAAGCCCAGAGGTGACACTAGCCATCCTTCCAATTTTAGCTCCATATATGTCATGTTGATGAGCTCCAGCCCTGTACCTTGTGCCAGGTTTGCTCTCTACCCCAAATGTGGCTGTCCTTGTACACTTGGTGCAAGCTGCTGGTCTTTGAGATAAGAGTCTGCCATGGAGATTCTGGCTTTTTAATAGACTCCATCTTTAATAAAGATTTGATCTCTCAAAAGGTGGCTTCTCTATATCTCACTAACTGGATTTACCTTACACCATAAATGGAGCTTACAACAATTGTTCTTATTCTAGACACCAACTAAAATGTTCTCCCTAAGATTCAACACACCTGTACGAGAAGTTATTTTCCAAATTCATTTACAAATACATCTTTCACTTTAATATAATTTAAGATACTCAATAATGAGGAATCCACCAGCTGGTTATCAGATATTAAATACCAGTTTCTGTTTCCCCCCTTCTCTCTTTTTTTTCTTCTTTTTGCCAGGCCTAGAGCTTGAACTCAGGGCCTGGGCACTGTACCTGAGTTTCTTCTGCTCAGGGCTAGCACTCTACCACTTGAGACACAGTGTCACTTCTGGCTTTTTCTGTGTATGTGTACTGAGGAATCGAACCCAGGGCTTCATGCATGCTAGGCGAGCACTCTACCACTAAGCCACCTCGAAAAAGAGGTCCTATGGAGCCTAAAGAACTTTACACTCATCACACAACACACACACACACACACACACACACACACACACACACAGTAAAAAGAAAAGAGAAGGGAAGATTTTCTGAATCTCAGATACAGGGAACTAGTCAGAGATTTACCTGCAGCATCTCCATTGTGGACCCTTTTAAGAGATGCTCCACATCTGAGATGAGCTTGGTCACCCAATTGCTCTGCCGGGTCAGCTTGTTTTCTGACACTGCAAACCTTTTCAAACCATCTTCCTCTTCCTTTTTCAGCTTTTGCAGTACTTTCTCCTCCTCAGAGTCCAGGATGCCTCTCAGTTGTATAAAATCTGCCTGAACATTTTGTATCTTGCCCTGTATTTGAGTCTTTGAAACAGAAAGAGACAGAGAGGCACACTCAGGGTTATCAGGTGGGGAGGTCTCATAGAGGAGGGAGGCTCAAGGAGAGGAGAAGTACTTAGTGAGCTATATTTTCCCTTCGTGACATTTCAAAGCCTAGCCTGAGACAAAACTGGATGAGTTTGACTTAGCTTTTACACAGCTATCCTGTGTCCAAGACTCATGATTATCTGTGTCACTCCTCATCCCATTCCTGAATTCCCCGTCAGATCTCAAACACTGAGGACAGAAGTACGATCCATTGCCAAATACCTTCCCTTACCAGCATCACAGCAATGGCCACCCCCAGAAAGTTGAGTTCCTCTGTGATCTCCTCACTCTCCAGCCCCCACCCCCATGGGAAAAGAAAGAAGACTAACTAAATGACTTTGGATCTAATCAACTGTCAGGGAAAAGAGAGGACAGGAGCTCCTCAGGAGCTTGCCTTCCAAGACATTTCCTCTTGTTGGAGTTCAGCTTTCCACTTCTCAGATTCTTCCTTGTTCTTCCTTAGCTTGTTCAGAGCTGCCCAGAACTTGCCCTGCGAACAAGGAAGGAACCATGACAGCGTCACTCTCTGAACTTTCTCAGCCTCTAGATAAGGGATAGTATGAAGGAAATCAGGTGAGAGACTAGAGTTTACAGAAAGGGTGAGAATTAAGTCTAACAGTTGGAAGAAACACTGAGGTGGCAAAAGTCCTCTTTAAGTGTGTCTCAGGTAATAGAGTAACAATCCTCTTACCAATAACAGAATGATTCTATTAGCTTGTTTTGAAGCAGTCTCACTTGGTCTCCAACTCTCTGAATCTTTCTTGGTTTTTGTGCCAGTATTGCAGAATGAACTCAAGAGCCTCTTGCTCTGGCTTAGCTTTCTTCCTTAGTTTTTCCTCCCCTATTTAAAACTGGTCCTCTAACCCCATAAGCCACATTTTTCACTTCCAGCTTTTTGATGATTAAATGGGGCTAAGAATATCATGGACATTTTTGCTTAGGCTGAATTAGAATGATGATTCTCACATCTCAGCCTCCTGAGTAGCTAGTGTTACAGGCATGAACTACCAGACCCTGGATAAATGGATTCTTTTTGAAACAAGAAGATTCTGGTCCTGTGTGAGGGAAAATAATCTACATCTCAACTCATTTAATTTACTTCTCGCTAAAAGGAACTTTCTTGGTCACCAGATCTTAATAGATGGAAGATATAGTAAAGAAGTATTTGCTGCTGTCAATAGTTCATACTTAGACTCATTTTCTTGTAAGTCAGTGGATTACACAGACATGTCTTTTAGGCCTGAGAAAGTCCCCACAGAGTGGAACAGAGTCATACTTCTCAGTCCTGGAATGATAGGTATTTAAACTACAACAGATGCCCACCCAGTAGAGATTTCCCTCAGGGATTATTTTGTGCTCTATCTTCCCTCATCCTTCATTTCTTACCTGGTACTCCTGGGCAACCTCCTCCAAGAGGCATGTACGGTGTCCATGATGCTGCTGAGATCGCTCACAAAGCCAGCAAATCACCTTCCTATCGTCCTTACAGAAGAGCTGGAGTTTCTCACCATGCTGTGTGCAGTGATGCACAGTCTGCTCCTGTGAGTTCAACTTGACCTCCCTGAGATTCTGCACTATGTTGGCCACATGTCGATTATGCCGGAGGCTCTCAAAGGCATAAGGGAATCGACATATGGGGCACACAGGTCCTCTTGGGCCTATAGTGGATTTATAGCTTGATGTGATACAGGCTTGGCAGAAGCTGTGTCCACAGTCTATGCTCATGGGTTCAATCATGAGCTCCAGACAGATGGGGCAGGTCACCTCCTCCTTTACATTGGCCAAGATTGATGAAGCCATTAGTGGCTGTTTTCCTGTTCCTGTCTTTCTT